GGGCTGGTCTTTCCGTGGCACACTGTGTCCCCTTGGGGTCCCACCTAGGTCTCCGGCCTCTCTGGGGCTGGGCGCTGGGCGCTGGGCTCACCTCGGGTGACACCGGTGGGTGACCTCCTTCAGGCCTGGAGCAGCAGAACGGGCAGTGCCAACGAGTCGCTGCCGGTTGCCGCCGGCTGGCATGGAGAGCCGGGAAATTCCACAGCCGTGTGCGTCCCCGGTGGAGGGCGCCCTGCCCCTCCCGTCTGCTTGTCCGCAGGCCGAGGGCGAGAGCAGGGAAGGCGGGAGCAGAGCACAGAGACCCCGATCCAGGGACTGGGGGAGGGAGCTGAGCCGCAGCTCCTGCTCCCGGGGGTCCGGGCACGGGGTCCTCGCCGTGCCGGAGCCACGTGGTGGCCCCGCTCGGTGCTGGCCACCTGGAGTGTGGGTCCTCGCTGCACCTGGGCCTGGGCACCTGCTCACGGCACCTCCCGGAGGCCGGCTCACCGGCGGATGCCCGGGAAGGCCTGGCACAGCCTGGCGCCGCCTCTGCTGTGCGCCCGAGCTCTGGAGCAGCCTGTGGGGCACGCGGGCGGGAAGGGGGGCCGGGAGGGCTGTGCAGAGCCCGGTGACAAAGAGGGACCCCGACCCCAGCCAACCGTCTGGCTGCCCGGGCACTGCCCCGGGCTTACCGGGTGAGGCGACGCCGTGACTGAGGGGGTGTGGGTGGGGCGAGGCTGTGGGAGCCCCGCGGTGGGTGCTGGGCACCCAGCAGGGGGGGGGGCTAGGGCCGCGGTACGGCCTCTGGGGAAACAGCGCCCCCTCCTCTCTCTGTCTTCTCTGAACCCTCCAGTCTAGATGCTCCCCCGCTCCATGCCCGCAGGCCCGTGGCGATGACTCAGCGCCTCCTGGAGCCCGAGGCCGCTCTGGGCCCCCCCAGCCCCGCCGCCACCCCAGGCTGCTGCTGGTCAGACGCGGGGTGCGGCCGAGGCGGGCGGCAGGGAGGGGGCGTCTGGGGTCAGCGGCTGCCAGGAGTGACGGACGAGGAAAGAGGAGGTGTGGGGCGGGGAGGGGAGGCGGGGCAGCAGGTGCACAGCGCCCCTGGCCTTGGCGGGAGCCCAGGACCCTCCCAGGCAGAGCCAGGGCCCAGAGCCAAGGCCGCCGACAGCTCCAGGAATGAGCTGGCCTGGAGGCGGCCTGTCAGCTGCTCATCTGGACTGAGAGAGGAGACCTCTTCCACTCCACTTCCTCCTCCTTCTCCTCCTCCCCCTCTTCCTTCCCTCCCCCCTGCGTCCTCTCTTCCCTCCCCCTCCCCCTCCCCCCTGTGTCCTCTTCTCCTCTCCCTCCCTCCCCCTGCGTCCTCTCCTCCTTCCCCCTCCCTCCCTTCTGCCCTTCCTCTCTCCCTGACCCTGAGACCCCGGTGGAAGGTGAGACACAGAGATGGAATGCCACTACCCCCCACCGGGCGGCTCCAGCCCGCAGCTCCCTGGGACCCCAGCCTCAGCCTGACCTGCCCCCGGGTGGAGGCAGGGACAGCCTGGCCCAGGCACATCCTAAACGCCCTCCATCTGTTCCCCGGGGACTCTGTGAGGCTGCTCCAGCTGCGTCCTCACTGGGAGAGGAGGAGGGTGTGGGAGGGGTTTTGTCTGCAGAGTCCATGCAGGACCAAAGCCTGCCTTGGGCGCCTCAGCTCTCCCTCCCTGCTCACTGGGCCTCCCTGGAGGCCAGCTCGCCAGCGGGAGACCTGGCACAGGGCCTGGCACCACGCCACTGCTCTGAGCCCAAGCTTTGGAGGAGTCTTGGGGCAGGCGGGAGGCCCAGGGTACAGGAGCCCGCCCTCTGCTGCGGCCGCTGGTCTTCCGGGCAGTGAGCTGGGCCGAGGCCAGGACAGGGGCCCGGGTTCCAGGCCTCAGGGCCCGGGCTGGGGCCCTAGCTCTCTCGCCTCCACTTCTTACCGGTTCTTTCTGTCCAGCCCCGCTGCAGAGCGCGCCCAGCCCGCTCTGACCCAGGGCCCAGGGACGGGGCGAGGTGGGTGGGGATGGTCGCCTGCCGGAAGCCCCTGCAGCCAGAGTGGAGGGGGCACGAGTGGGAGCTGGGGTGCCACAGCCTGCGGCCGGGCCAGCACATCCCAGCCCAGAGTGATGGGTGGGGGAGGCGGAGGGCCTGAAGGCAGCACCGGAGCCCCATGGGTGCTGCCCGCTGTGGCCAGCCTGGTGCCTGGCACTGGCGCCGTGGACCCTGGCAGAGACGCTCGCTGCTGCCTTGGCTGCCTGGGCTCCACCATTCTCCACACGCTGCCTGACCCTCAAGGCGGGGGTGGGGGGTCCGGGCTGGGGCTGCCCATGACGGGGTGCAGGGCGGGCTGCTGGGCCTGGCAGACCCGGGGCACTCGGTGCAGGTCACTGCCCGGCCCCTTGGGCTTCTGTCCGGGCGCCTCAGGCCAGCAGGTGCAGGCCCTGGAGCATGCACTCCAGCAGCCTCCTGCGGTCCCCGCCGCCCGCGCCCCCTGGCGGCGGCTGTGAGCACTGCAGGGAGGGATTCGCTGGGAGCAGAGCCTCGGCTGCCCAGCTCTGGGGAGGCCCCAGGCACCAGGGTGGCCGCGGGCTGAGGGACCCCTGGGGGAAGGAGAGGGACATGGGAGGCAAGGGCGGAGCTGGGAGGGGCTGAGCCAGAGGTGACCAGACATCTTGCTTTTGGCGGGACACCCGATTTAAAAAAAAAAAAATATTTTATTGATTTTGTACAGAGAGGAAGGGAGAGAGATAGTCAGAAACATCGATGAGACAGCGTCATCGATCAGCCGCCTCCTGCACACCCCCCACTGGGGATGTGCCCACAACCAAGGTACATGCCCTGGACCGGAATTGAACCCAGAACCTTTCAGTCCCCAAGCCGACGCTCTATCCATTGAGCCAAACCGGTCTCGGCGACAGTCCCGATTTTTAACAATTTGTTCCGCGGCGTTTTAAAAAAGTCCCGATTTTTGGACTAGCTTGCCGTGCATTCTTTCCAAAAATCGGGCTTTTTTAAAATGCCGAGGGACAAATTGCTAAAAATTGGGGCTGTCCCGCCAAAAGCGGGACGTCTGGGCACCTTAGCTGGGGACTTACTGGGGAGTCGGCAGGGTCACAGGGCACCTGCTGAGGTTAATCCCTGGAGGGGACCACTGTAGAGTTTCTACAGCTGATACTAGAGGGGTTTCTGGAGAGTACCCGTGGTGCCATCCATTTAACTCGCTTAGCGCGCTCCGGGACAGGCTGGACGGGCCATCACTGGTCATGGTGACTCACGGAGTGGGTCCTGGGCTCTCGGGGGCTGGGGCCGGGCGGGGGCCGGGGCAGGAAGTAGCTGACCGCAGGCTCCGGTTCTGACACCGGTTGCCAGTCTGACTGGCTGAGGGTATGGAGGCAGTTGTCTGCTTCATGGGCCTGGGGCTGACCCCTGAGGCTGTGTGGTGTTTACCCGAAGCCGCTTCTGTGGTCAGCAGGCCGGAGGCTTTGTCCTGAGCCTCTTTGAGGCCGACCAGACGGTCATGGTGCGTCTAATGGGCTTCAGGCTTCAGGGCGTGGGCGTGGGCGTGGGAGGAGGCGGCGGCGGGGAGCCGGTGCGGCTGGCTGGTGGGTTCAGCAGGACAGACAGGAGAAGGTCCCGCTGAAGACACAGGCTCTGCGAGGTGGCAGAGGGGCTGCGGGAGCCGTGCTAACGGGAGACGGGGTAAAGAACAGGGCTGTGCCTGCCAGCGTGGCTCCGGGGCTGAACATTGACCTATGACCCAGGAGATCAGGGTTCGATTCCCGTCAGGGCACAGGCCCAGGTGGCAGGCTTGATTCCCAGTGTGAAGCGTGTAGGAGGCAGCCGATCCGTGATTCTCTCTCAGCATTGATATTTCTCTCTCTCTCCCTTCGTCTCTGAAACCAATAAAGATATATTAAAACAACAACAACAACAACAACTCAGGGTTGTGAGAGCCAAGGGAGCCACATGCTGCTGAGACCAGGGGTGCTGTCTCCTGGGGGTGAGGGTTGGCCCACGACAGAGCTGATGGGTACCCCGAACCCGGTGCAATATATCGATAGAACACGCTAATCAATGCCGCGTCCCATCGGCGAGGGGGTGGCACCGGGGAGCTTCAGTCAGAGCAGGAGCCACACAGCCGTTTGCAGAAAACACCCCAAGAAGTTCTGCTGCAGATCCAGCCTGAATGCCGGCCCCGGCGCCCAGGTCCCTGCCGCGGCGCTGAGAGGCATTCAGCGCAAACCACACACCTAAGCTGACATGTTTTGGTGGGCACGTCACAAAAAAAAAAAAAAAAGGAAAACATTTGACTTTGCACAGCGAGCCCGTGATGCAACATATAGCTCTTGTAACTCAGAAACCCACACCCGAAACCCGTATGCACCCCAATAAATGTAACGTAAAAAGGAAAGTAAGATAAAAAGTGAAAATAATTTTGGCAATCTAGTTTAGTGACCCCAATAGACCAGGAATATGCATTCCAACCTGTGGTCAGTGTAAAAACGAGTCCTTTCAGCTTCCCTGTACAGGAAGTCTTGGACACCTGCAGCCACGTGCAGGGCACTGCTGGGGCCCCGGATTCTTCGGTGCTGGAGCCTGGCCTGACCCCCTCGCCTTCCCCTCAAACGGCCTGGCCGGTGGCCGGTGGCCGCAGCGGGTGCCGCCTGCCGGGGGCCAGGACCTCTGTGCAGGGGGGGTGGGGGGGGTGGGGGTTGGGGTGGGGGGAGGTTGTGGGGGGGGCCTGTGCCCCGGCCATCCGCCCTCGGGGCCGCTCCGCCGCTGCACTTCCACCGCCGCGCCGCTGGGCGTCGCCCTTTCACGCGCGCCTGGGGCGTGGGCGGGACTTCCGGGTGCGCGGAGGCACAACTTCCGGAGGGAGGCGGAAGAGCCGCCGGGTCTGCGCCGGGAGTCCCGGGACGGCTGAGGCCCGGGTGCAGGAGAGCCGCCGGGCGGGCCGGCCGCGCTCGGGGTGTCGGGGCCGCCGGCCTGAGGGATGAGGAGGCGCCATGGCCAGCGACGGGGCCAGGAAGCAGTTCTGGAAGCGCAGCAACAGCAAGGTCCCGGGCAGGTGGGTGTGCCGGCGCGCCGGGCTGGGGTCAGGGGTCAGAGGTCGCTGCGGGTGGTGCGTGGCGTCGGGGTCCGGGGCGGAGGGGCCCGCGCGGGGCGAGGGGCCCGGGTCGGGGCGCGGGGTGTGGGGGGCGAGGCCGAGGAGGGGCCGCGGCCGGGGACGTGTCCGGGCGCCGGGCGGGGCCGGGCCGGGAGGGCTGCTCGGGCGCGGCGCTCGGACCCGCCGGCCGCCCTCCGCCCGGAGCGGAGTCCATGGGAGGCGCCCGGGAGCCGTGCGGCCCCTCCGGCCTCAGCCGCTGCCAGCTGGACTCGCGGCCGGAAACAACCACCACCGCCGGGCTCCGGCCGTGACCGGCCGCACCCTGGACCCAGAGTCCTCCTCCGAGAGGTGTCCCCGCCGCGGGACCGGGGAGCACAGAGCAGACACTGTCCCGCTGCGCGGAGGGAGCAGCCACGGAGGGAGCAGCGCCGGAGGGAGCAGCCGGCAGAGGGAGCAGCCGGCGGAGGGAGCAGCGCTGGAGGGAGCAGCGCTGGAGGGAGCAGCGCTGGAGGGAGCAGCGCTGGAGGGAGCAGCGCCGGCGGAGGGAGCGGCCGGCGGAGGGAGGAGGGTAAACAAACGCGGGATTTCTAAGCCCAGTTTGTCTGGAATCCGAAGGCTGAGATGCTGGACACCCCGAATCGTGTTGTGAGCATAACTCCCAGCGGACTCACCCCAGGCACGGCTTCGGCAGCAGGTTCCTGAGAGACACCGCGGAGAGCGCGGACGGCCAGCTGTGGACACAGCTGTGTCTGGGCAGGAATCGTGACTTCAGATGTGGGACCCGCAGGCCGAGCCACTGACTGGGAGAGGGCCACCAAGACCCTCCTTTGCCCTTAGGACCATGCTTGATTGAAGAACGGGAAGAGCTCTCACTAAAACCAGTGTCGGCGTCCCAGATGATGTGAACATTCTGGAAGGGCAGCAAGTAGGCAGCCCCAGGAGCCACAGGGACAGCGCTCTGGGACGTGGACTTGGAAAGGAACCACGTGGCATCAGAACACACATGGCCCGGCTGTCGTGGCTCAGTGGTTGAGCATCGACCTTTGAACCAAAAGGTCACGGTTCAATTCTTGGTCAGCACACATGCCCCGGTTGTGGGCTCCATCCCTAGGAGGCAGCTGATCCACGATTCTTTCTCCTCATTGATGTTTCCCTCTCCCTCTCCCTCTCCCTCTCCCTCACTCTCTGAAATCAGTAAAAACATATTAAAAAAAACAAAAATAAACGCACATGTGGGTTTTAGGTTTCAGTTCGAATGAACGAACCACTACACCAGTCAGGATGGAGGAACAGGAGCCCCCGAGTGTGGCTCTGACCTTCGGATGGATGCCTGTCTCTGGGTGATTCGTCCTCAGATTGGGTTCCCTGGTGCCCCCCAAATCCACGAGCCTGCGACTGGGACTTTGTGCAGTGTAATCAGGTCAGGGATCATGCTGTGGGTCCTAGTCCCGTTTCTGGTGTCCTGCTGAGAAGAGAGAATCTGGACAGAGACGCAGATCTCGGGGAGGCGGCATCTGGAGTGGAGGCCATGCGTACCTGCCTGGGGGCGCCGTGGGGCTGGGAGCCAGTGGGAGTCACAGGCAAGGAGACCCTCCCAGAGCCTTGAGAGGGCGGCCCCCCTCACCTCCAGGCCGGGAGAGGACGAGTGTCTTGTTGGGAGCCGCTGAGCTGTGGCCGCTGGTTAGGACGGCTGTAGGGGACGCAGGCAGCCCTCGCCTTCCTTCCCGTGTTCCCAAAGAGCCCTTTTCTCCGCCCGTGTCCGTGTCCGTGTCCGTGCTGTGCCGGAAGGGCTGTGCCAGGCGTTTCTGAGAGCAGCTCCCGTGTCAGTGACGGTGTGCGGGGCCAGTGCAGGGCCCAGCGAGGGTGGCCGCCGAGGCCTGTGCCGCTGCCGTTCCCGCCCTCCTGCCCTGGTGGCGGCTTTGCGGACGGAGTGCGAAGGTTGTCCTTTTTTCCTGCTCGTAGGTCAGTGGTGACCGTTGGCCAGAGGCACAGTCTCTATCCGGGCCGCGCGTGCTGTGGGCTCCCCGCCAGGTCCCGTGGCTTTGCCGGCCCCTCCAGGTGCTGCGTGATGGTTCAGCTCTTCGTTCTGAGTGGCCCCGAACCCAGAGGACTGGGAGGAGGACGGAGACGCCACCGCCGTGCAGGCGTGAGGGCCTTTATAGGGCACAGCCCCGCCCGGCGAGAGGCTCCTCAGTGACCGTCCCTCACGCTCCCCCTGACCCGCTGGGTCCCTGGCGGGTCCCTGGGTGCAGGCGGCCGCTGTCCGGTGCTCGGCAGGTGTCGGGGGTTCGGAGTTGACAAATGCGCTGTGTCCGTGCGGTGCTCATGGGGGCTGGTTTGGAGCCCCTGAAAGGCGTGCTGAGCAGGAGTGTCCCCTCATGCCTCAGGCCCTTCGGGACCCGGCCTGCTTGGTCCCCGCCACGTCTCCAGCCCTTCTTGCCTCAGCCGTGCGGAGTGGTCTGACCCGCAGGCAGCTCCTCGCTGCCCGTCCTGGTGGTTCTCGTCCGCAGCACATCCTGGCCCCGTCCCTCCCGTTGTAAACGTCCCGACAAGCGAGCTGCGTCCGTGCGCAGGCCCGTGTGCCTTCGTGTGCACCGGGCACCGGGCTGCGGCCTGCCGCTGCTTTGCTCCAGGGCCGGGAGCTCTGCAGTCGGGCGAGCGCCCTGGCCGCCGTCAGTGCCGGTAAAGGGTGATCCCAGTCTCCGGGCACCAGCGGGAGGCTCGGCCCGGTCCGGTCTCACTGGGAGAGGCGTCTTGCGGTGCCCGCCCTCTCACGCCTCGTTCTCCAGCACGTCTGGCCGAGGCCTTAGCAGTTCCTCTGCGGAGGCGGGTGGAGGGCCGGTGGGGAGCCGAGGTCCGGGCGTCAGCCTCCTCTCCGGTTAGTCCCGTGGGCCCCCGGGCCCGGGCTCCTGCTCCGTCAGCGACCGCACGGGAGCCTGAGGGCGCGGTCAGTCCGCCCGCTGACCTGCGGGAGGCGCTCCGCGTGGCCTCGGGGACGGAAGGGGGGAGGCCTTCCCGTTTGGAGGTCGGTCATTTTTGCACACCCGACGTTTCCTAGAGACACGCCGAGGAGACAGGCCGGAGCCGTGCTGCCCCAGCGTGCAGCTCCGTCCGAGGGGTGATCGTCCAGATGGGAAGCAGGGAGAGCGGGGGAGAGTCCGGAGGGGGGTGCGGTGGGCGCCTCTCCCTCTGGCCTCCCGGGACAGGACGTGCAGGAGGGGAGGCACCATCCGGGAGGCGGAGGAGGGGTCCAGGCCGAGGGCCGGCAGTGCAGAGGCCCTGTCGGGGCCAGTGCTGGGGTGTCTGACATGAAGACCGTGCAGGAGGGAGGGGAGGGGAGGGGAGGGGGAGTCCTGGGGCGCACGCAGGGGGAGGAGCTCATGGTCACAGGAAGGACGTGGGCTTTCAGGCTTTCCTGCCAGACAGAGGCCTCTGTGGGCTCCTGGGCAGAGTGGCGGGACCTGCGGTGGGTGTGTCGGGTTCCTCCGGCTGCCGGGCTGAGGCGGGTGGGGGCTGAGCGGGAGACCAGTTGGCGGCGGCTGGGAGCACCCGGGGGGTGAGGTGGTAGCTGATGCCCACCAGCAGGGAAGCTCAGACGCGGGAGAGGTCCACTGACCCCCTTTCTCAGGCTGTGGGCTCCCGAGGGGCCGCGGTTTCTGCAGCTGCAGCTGGCACGCTGGCCACACGGAGCGTCAGGTGCCAGGACAGAGCCCTCGCAGGCGGGCAGTCCGCCTCCTTTCCGCCGGCCCTGCGTGCTGTGCTGGCGGCGGGAGGCCAGAGGGAGAGCGGCCGGCGGTGGTGCTGGGTGAGCTGAGCGGGGAGGCGGTCTTGCTGGTGGACCCCGGGGGGGGGGGCTCCCAGTGTCTGGCCCTGACGGCTCAGTCACGGCACCGCCACGAGGAGCCGAGCAGGTGAGACCTCAGCAGCGGGGAGGGAGCTCCCTCCCTCAGACACAGGAGCGCCTCCCACGGCAGGGCCACGGCAGGGCCACGGCAGGGCCACGGAGGCGGGGCCTCCAGTGGCCGCGGGGGAAGGAGACAGTGAGCAGTAGACACGCCAGTGTCAGACGTGCTCCGACAACCACGCTCTGGGAACACACGTGGGCAGCGTAGCTGGGCCCTCGCCGGGAGGGTCATGTCCTCCAGGGGAGGCCTGCATTGGAGCGGGGCCCTCGGCGACGGGGGTGGCCGTCAGCCCCGCTGGCGGGGACTGGCCACACGGAGACCGGCGGCCCCGGGGAGGAAGCCGGTGGCGAGCGAGCTCAGAGCAGCGGCTCAGGTCCATGGAGGAGCTCGGGCCTGGGTCCTGAGAGCCAGGGGCCAGGACGGCGTGGCCTGGAGGAGGGGAGAGGAAGTGGGCAGTGGTGGGTCACAGGCTGGACAGACGGCTCAGGCCACACTGCAGGTGGGACTCGGGGCACTGGGGGCTGGCACTGGGCGCTCGTGGGACCACTGGGTCTGGCGGAGGATGGGCGTGGTCAGCAGATAATGGCCCCAGAGATGCCCACGCCCTCACCCTGGGACTGCGGAGCGTCACGTTACGTGGCAATGGGGAGTCGGTGGTGAGTGGTGTGGCACCCCCGCTCTGGGTGCTGGCTCGGGGGGAGGAGCCAGAGCAGAGGGTGCGGAGGCCTCCGGAGCGGCAGCCTGCTTCCAGCCGCAGGGCCTCGTGTTCTCTTTGGCTCGGTGATACCGGGTTACTTTTCTGTCCCAGGCCGGTCACCAGAGCCGCTGAGGCAATCATGTCCCAGAGGTGGTTTGCAGGAAGGGGCAGGCGCAGGGCCTGCAGGGGGCGCTGTCAGTCCTCCGAGCTGCCTCCAGAGGCTCCAGCACTGAGAGGTGGCTCCGGAAGGCAGAGAGTGGCAGGGGAGCAGGCGGCATGGGGGCTCCGTGTGCACCGCAGGCCCGGGTGTGCGATCCTGGGGGAGGCCCTTCTCGGAGGAGGCACCGTCGGAGCACCGC